ACACACACACACACACACACACACACACACACACACACACACACACACACACACACACACACACACAGTGCTTCCACTCTTCCATATTTTTATGGAAATCCGTACTTTCTGCAGTTCCGTACGTGTTCCTCCATCATTATCAACTCCCTCCGTAAAAATTCTGCGACAGTGCAGGACTGCCAAAATTCCGTACTCGCCTTCGTATAGTCATGTTTATATTACGAATATTTACGATAATTCTCTCGGCAACAAGTTAAAGTGATAGAAACCTGCCAAATTGCGCATTTCCTGCAATCGGCCTTTATACCGCTATGTCTCATGAGCTCAGTCTCGTGCATTCATTGCGGGTTGGTCGGCAGTACATTTTTTATCTGCAGATGGATAAAAATCTGGCGAAGCTTTTGTGCCAATTTCCTCCTTTCTATCATTCACTCATTCTGTCTGTCTATCTCGGATTGTTGCTGCGGCTGGAAAATCTGCGCGTTGATCAAGTAAATTGACTTGTGATCTTAGACAGAAAATTACTGTCAGAATGAAACTTTTTTTCACAAATTTGTCTAGATCTAGAGAAATTATCTGTGCGAAGATTCTACGGCACGTGAACGCAATATAAGGGCCGCGGTGAAAGAAATATGCTGGTACGGGCATGCCCACTACGGATGGGATCGGCCGATCGCGCTGATCGCCTGACTCTGTTGCTTTGTTTTCAGTTGGCGATCGAGCCGGGCGATCGGCCTGATCCAGCCGTAGGTAAAATCAAGAATAATTCGAAGTGGTGTTGCGAGGTTGTGAAAGGCGACATTCAGACAGGCAAATGGAGAAAAAAATTTTGGTATACGCTGCGCAACTGTATTTTGAAGGTACATCTATTCATTATTCCCTGGTTTGCCTGCTATCAATGGTGCGATGACAAATTAATTGAATTATAGTAGCAATGAAAGGGGAACCTGTTTATAAACATTGCTAACAATGGAAAGAAATGTTGGTGAAGAAATCAAACAAGACAAAATGTTGGTGAAAAATAAATGTTATGGGCTGAAGGCAATATTTTCAAACAGGCTCCAAAATGCCATTTTCAACCCTCTAAAAGCACTAAATTTCAATTTCTTCGGGGGCGCTGATCCCCCACCGGAACGCTGTCCCTGGACCCTGATGGGGGCTTTTAGGGCCCCCAGACCCTCTGCAGAATTTTTCTTACTTTTGCGCTGCAGCTGGTGAAAGCACTGCAAAATATAATTACCCACTCGAAAAGCAAGCGTGTTCGATGGGGCTACGATCATCTTTTTTTCCCCTTCCTTGTCTTTGTACTACCTGATTTTGGGCCAAAATACCTGAAACTGACCCTGAATCTACCTGAAATGGGAACTTTGAGGTAGGCAGCCCTGATATTTTTAGAAGAATGTTTTTCTTTTGTTGGATGTATTCTACTCATTCAATCTGAAATAACCACAAGTTCACAAAATGATGTGTTTTTGATGAGTAACATTCAGCATGTGATCATGTTTACAACAAAATAAACATTTTGTGTGTTCATTTTGGTACCACATGCAAGCTTTTACTGAAAGGGTTGTTCCTGCATAGTTCTTTTCGCTTGGAAAGTGGGTGAAAACGTAAATGCGCAACTGCTGCTTTTTCTTTCCCAATCCTTACTATTGTCAAATCCTCTATTTTTTTGTATGTTTGTCACTCTCTTGTGACCCGCTATTTCGGGTGTGCCTTGATAGTCGAAGCAGACTTTGTGCTGTTGAAGCTAGAGAGGTGAGCAGAGTAAGCCTGATTCCCTGTAAGGACTTCTCTGTTGACATCCACCCCTTGGCGGTCATATGACCTTATGCAGTTGCGAGGGTCATAAAAAGTACTAAAAAAACAGTGTGTATGAACAGACAAAGTGTGTAAAAAATCAGTAGTTCCATTTATTTTCTTTCATAGACTCTTATGTGTTAACTCTGTTGTTTTACTTTTTTTCCGTCACAGACACAGTATGTGTAACAAGCTTGAAGTACCTGAGTCAGGCTGGAGAGCTGGCAGTTGGGTTCAATTTTGGATCGTTTCAGCTGTGGCGACTCTACAATCCTGTACTAGAGTGAGTTGATTGCGAAGGGAAGAATATGAGTCACTTTTCAGAGTATTTTTATCTCAGTCAGTATGTCAATCACTTATTTTACAACCCCAAGTCTTGTATTGGATTTAGTTGCATATGAAGGGACAAATATGAGTTACTTTTTGGAGTATTTATATACACAGTGGATTCACAGACTTCCCACTTGAAAAAAAAAGCCCCTGTTGTTCTTATTATTCAGCATATAAAGACAAAAAATTGACACAGACATATTTCAAAGTTTTTCAAGAGTATAATCTTCTGTTTCTTGATTATGGCTCTCATGGGGACAGAGTGACAGTGTTAAGCACGAACAGGGACCCCTTCATTTCAAATTTTCACGTCAGTAATGTGTATGGCTGCCCCTTGTAGTGATGCAGGCTTAGGATTGATTGAGCAGGGTGTCCAGCAAAGTCGGAAAGTCAGAAATTGGTCGGATTTTTGCAGGGTGTCCAGCAAAGTCGGAAATTGGTCGGATTTTTATATGCTGGTTTTGGTCGGAGAAGAGCAATCGCGGTCGGAAATCGCGAGAAGTATAACAATGTACCCGTAAAATGCGAAATTACAACGAATGAAAAAATGTACGAAGGAAAGTAAGTATGTTCCGTTCGGCACTGGGTTAGATCGTTTACGATATTAAAAGGGTCGATTACTTATTAATTGCTATGAAACTGTTGTAAGAATCGACACTGCATTTCAGTAAAATTATTTTGTCTGTCCACCGATACTTAGTCTGCGCGGTACTAGCCTAAGTCCGCCATTGTCTCTGTGAGTGGGAAGAAAGTCTCAGCTGACTCTCAGCTGCCACACATGTTTTGTGATAAAGGAGTCATATTACTGGATCTAGATCTACATTTAATTTGTTTATAAGTCTACTGAACAAGTGAGATTTCCTATTTTTTCATGTAGATCTAACCCATTATCTTTCACAGATTTTAATCGAAATAATAGTCAACGAAACAATTTTAGTTTAGGCTAGGGATTAGGCCTACCTTTGAGCAAAGCGTCTAACTCGAACTCGAATCGCTTGGCCGCCTTGACGCTACACCTATAGACTCTATACCTAATTGAGTATTGCCTACTATAATAGATCTAGTTTACATGGTTAGATTTGGTCATATATACATGTCTAGTAGATCTAGGTCTATTTAAATAAAACATTTAGATCTATTTTTCAAATCTGGATCTTAAATAATCCCTCTCTCTTTAAAAAAAAAATCATTTCTACCGGAACCTCAATTGTTTAGTAGATCTAGCGCCTGCTTACTGTGTTTACCTTTCAGAATGGGAAAGTGTTATTTCAATTCTGAATGGCTACACAATCCAAATTACAAAAACTGGATACAAAAACATTCGGACAAAGGCAAGTTTGTATGCAAGCTTTGCAAGCAGACTTACGTCATTGGCCAGTCTGGCATCAAAGCCCTTAGTTCGCACATGGTTTCTGAAAAGCACAGTATGCATTGACATCCAAATCTGGCTCTAAATCCATGCATGACTTTACAATTAAAAGTTCACCGTCAAAGCCTGCAGGACCACAGCTTGAACCTACGACTCAACCAAATAGTGCTAGATCTAATGCTGTGACATCAAGCACAACTTCTTCTGCCCAATCATCAATTAAAATTTCAGACAGCTCTGTTTTGAAAGCTGAAATACAATGAACAATGCACATTATTTCCAGTCATTGTAGTGCCCGGTCGTCTGACAACATAGATGAGTTATTTCAGTCAATGTTTCCTGACTCTTAAATTGCAAAAAAATTCAAGTGTTCGCGCACGAAGCTTGGATATCTATCCTCATTTGGGATTGCACCAGCAATAAGAGACACCATTGTTACAACAGTAACAGTATTATGTGCTTATGTTTGATGAAAGTTTAAACCCTGATCTGCAGACAAAACAACTTGATGTGCACATACGTTTTCTAGATTTTGATGGACAAGTGAACTCTCGCTATGTGGACTCCTATTTTTTGGGTCCTGCCAAAGCAGTAGACATAATCCAAAAACTCAATCCACTCATTGAAGAATTGGGAAGTGACAAACTTATCCAGATATCAATGGACGGCCCCAATGTCAATTGGAAAGTGTTTAAAGATCTTTCGTCTCAACTTGAGGAAGCCACTCGTTGCTGAACATTGGCTCATGTGGTTTACATGTTCTACACAACAGTTTTAAGGAGGGTATCAAGGCATCGGGGTGGTGCCTGGAAGATTTCTTAAAGTCTTTATATTATCTTTTTCAAGAGTCACCAGCAAGACGAGAGGATTTTTTTCAAGCCACCGACAGCTCCCACTGCAGTTCTGTGGTCACAGAAGGCTTGAAAATTTACCAGCAGCTGAAAGAGCCATCACCATTTTGCCAAATGTTCAAAAGTACATTTCATGTATAAAAAAGGGAAATTACAGTGAGTCAACTTGTAAAAGTTACAAGACTGTAGTGGAGCATGCAGATGACAAGTTGTTGTTGGCAAAACTGGAATCTTTTTTTTTTTTAGCTAAGATTGTCAGACCATTTTGGACAAAATTTCAAGCCAATGAACCTCTGGCTCCTTTCTTGACAACAGAGCTTTTTTCCATCGTCAAGAGACTTTACAGTCTAATTTTGGATCCTTCATTTTTTAAAACCGTGACAAAGCCAGACACTATGCCCAAACCTAAGGACCTGAAAAAGACCAATTAAAAAATCACAAGAGTATTGATGTTGGACACAGGGCAGAAAAAGTATTGGAGAAAGAAAAAGCAAAACGTTCAAGTCTTCAAGTGATGACTTTTAAGATGAAGTTTCAGAAATTTGCTCTGAGCTGTATTGAAAGACTCCTGAAGAAAAGTCCATTGAATTATGCATTGGCCAGGTCTATTATATGTTTGAACCCACAAGTTATGAGTTCTGATGATGCAACAGGGCTTTTCAAGGATATGATAAGAGAAATGAACAAACAAGGATGGGTGGATGATGATGATGTTGATGAAGCCTGCTACCAGTATGAGACCTTAAGGGACAGATTGGCACCAATTTCTTTCTCTGCCAATGAGAGTTAGATGAGTTTCTTAATCTTCATGGCAACTTGAATGAACGACCACAGCTGAAAAAAGTTATTGAAAAAATCCTTATTTTGAGTCATGGCAATTCACAGGTTGAGAGAGGCTTCTCAGTGAACAAAGAAGTAATTGTTGAAAATTTACATGAATAATCCCTAATTGCCAGAAGACTGATATGCCAATATGTCAATGGAAGACCTGCCTCTCAAATTCACATTTCCAAAGAAATTATGACTTCCAGTAGCAAAGCCTTGCATAAGTATCAAGAAGCTCTGGAACAGAAAAGAAAGTCAGCAGCTGAAACAGAATTGAGCAAAAAAAGGAAAAGAAAGCATGATGAAGTAAAAGAACTAACAAGCAAGAAGAGAAAGATGGAGTTGGACATTGACATGTTGATTAGAACTGCTGATGACATGAATGAAAAGGCAGAGGCAGCAAGTAACAAGCAGGCACATGACTTAATTGTGAAAAGCAATGCCATGAGAAAAGACGCAAAAGAGAAACGAAAGGAGTTGATCGACCTCTGTGCTCATTTAGATGAGAAGGAGGCAGAGCTGAAAGCTATGTAAATAAGAACAGAGAACTGTAAATAGTTGTATATAGTTTCTAAAAATGAACTGTGAAGTAATTGACTTTTAACTATAAATGATAATGAACGAGAGCACCATGGAAGTAATGGAAACACAGTGGAAGAATTGATATAATCAAGGCTCAAGGGCTATAGTACATGATATGCTGTCAATTCTGATGATGTTTTTGGTAATTTCATTTATAGCGTAACGTTAAATTAGTGTGTTGAATGTTGGTAGGATTTTTGTATTAGGTGGTAGGATTTTGGTGGACACTCTGTTGAGTCAGTTATCGTATTGACCATTGTGGTAATCCGTTCCACTCTTGAACCAATGCTTGTCCCAGTCATTGTACACTGTTGTCATTTGTGGCACTCACTTTTTGGCCCAACAGATCCCTGAGGTGATCTATGGGTGACACAGTGGCGTCGGTAGCCTAGTGGTTTGGCTACCGGACTGGTAATGGTGAGATTGCTGGTTCGGGGGGTTTGAGCGTCAGCTGGATCCGATGTTGTGTCCTTGGGAAAGACACTTTCAGGGTTCCCTTTTACGCACAAATGTGCATATATTACACATTAAACCTGCAGATTACCTCCTTTTTTGGTTGTGCGTGAGCTTTACTCTTTATAATTATTTCGGGGGTTTGCATACGCTTTAAAACGTGGGTGGTGTGCATCTGGCAAGCATCATTTCCCCCCTTCTCTATGCCAAAGCCGAGTCAATGATTTGACGACACACCCTCACACCTGCATGACAGTCACCTTCTGTGTCGGAACAAGTCGACTAGTTGACCTACCTATTAGCTGCGTGCAGCTTCCGGCAACACAGGCTTGCTTCAGCTCAGAAGCTCCGCCCACTTTCTGGTCGCTCACATTTGCTGGTGTCGTGCCTTGAGTTTACCCCTGCCGTGAGATTACCCCCATCCTTCTTTAACACACTAGTAAACATGAATTGTCCGTCATCGAAAGTGTGGAAAGACTTGAATGTGAACCCTGGGATGGCTCTGAAGAATAATGAATCAGTTTATTTTCCAAACCTGCCACTCATCCCTACTCTAAATCTCAAGCATCCCGATTTTCCAGATTTTGATTGCGTGTACCCTGACTTTTTTGGTTTAATTTTTTTGTTCCATCTCTTGCGCCGGATCTTTCTAAAATCTTACTCTTGCCTTCTTTTCTGTTGTGGGAAGCACTCGTTAAACTTTTTGTCAGCAGAAACTCGGAGCACTATTTTCCTAAATATCTTTGTCGAATTTAGTAGTTGACTCACAAAAAGTTGTCTTGGATCTTTGCTCACTCGTGTTATTTCAACTATAATGGATTGGAAGTAGTATTGATTTGGCATTCCGACTTAAGACATTCTCAAGATCTTCTTTCGCCAATACATGCTTTGTCCGAGTTTTCGTTAGTCGGGCCTGTCATCAAGATCCTTCTGTAAAACTGTTTCAATCACGCAATTGCACCACGTGACATGACCTCGGGGATGGAGGGGGGGGGGGGGTGTAAGGACACTTGGACAAGGAGACCTTGGCATGATACTTCAGGATTTAAAAAAATGATAAAACACACACAGGCACACACGCGCGCTCACACACACACACACACGCACACGCACGCACACGCACACGCACACACACACACACACACACAGAGGGAATATACATGGATATAATAATGGACACCCCTGGAATTTTTAAAGGGTCAGCTTGGCAGTGACTTAAGTGATTTGTTGTTGATCCCGAATTTTTTCCCCACTGATATCCTGACTTTTAGATTTCATAGAGAGGCAGGTCTATTTTTCTTGGAGTATTATAGTTGGAGTTTTGGTTTGTCAACTTTATTTTATTTTTGATAGACCCAACTGCTCAACCACCACCACTCTTCCCCCCTCCTATGGACACAACTCTAATTCTAGTCAATATTACTCATTTATTTCTTAAGTTAATTAAAATCATTAGCATTCAATCATAGTATAGTCATGGTCACACTATGTGTGTCTGTGTGAATGTGCGTGTGAGTTAAATGTTTGCAAGCGAAAAATCTTACTATAAAATTATGAGATATTGACTTTTACTCTTTAAGTTTCTAAAACAAGGGTTTAAATACCCCTTAAAATAGTAAACCAAAGGGTGAAGGAACCTCTTAAGGGGAGCCCTGATTTTAGACAAATTTCTCATTTGGCTCGGTCCTTTCGGAGATGGACGTTTAACTCGGAGGTCCTGCCTCTTCAGTAAAGTATTAGTGTTGATAGAGGCATTAAACCACTACCATTTTTATGGGGGGACATATGTGGCAAGTCGGCTGGGCGTGGCAAAGCATACACTTTATGCTGCTGTACTGGTACTCATTGGTGTTGACAGTAGTGTTGAAAATATGCATCTGGGTTCTGTGGTTAGTTGGAAGATATTCAACCCCACACCATCACCATCCTTTCCTGCTCTCTAACAATGTTCTGTCGTCTGCTTTCGTCTCCACTTTCTGCCCCCAACTCCTCACCTCCTTTGCCACTCTGGACTCCTGACTCTTTCTGCAGCCTTTCTTCTGCTACTCCTTACCTCCTTACTGCTGTCATTTTATTTAGCCACGCCCCTGATATTATTTTAGGTAAGATCTAACACCTAGCCTTCTTGGATATGGGCGAAAAATCTTAAAGGTCCCATGTGCAAGTTGCGCATGTTAATTTTTTTTGTGATTAGAAGGTAAGATTTGAAAGCAACTGATTTAAAAAACTTTCGAAAACTGGGACTATTTTTTCCTCTCTCAAATACTATTTAAGATCTTACTCTTTTATTACCTAATCTTACTCTTTTTCACCATCAATTGCTCTCTTTCTACTTAATGTGGTTGGCAGCTCTGTTACCAAAAGTAAACTGGAAAAATTTATGCCGCTTTGTATGCACCGGTATCATCAAGTCACCAAATTCATTTTCACCAAGTGTTTTGTCTTTTCATTGTTTGATAAGTGTTGTCAGTGATGAGCTTATGCAAGACCCCGACAAACGCAATTTTACACTTTTGGCGTTTGTCGGAGTCCGACATCCAGCCATCGATACGGAAAAAGATTTCACAAAAGGGGATCAACTCCTAAAAAAAAGGAATTTTATGATACAGATTCCCTGCAGTTTACTTTTTTCTTTTCTTCTTTTCCAGCTATAGCTCCAACTACAACCCTGGACTGGCAGTGACCAACTTTATTGCACAGGAGCCTGAGAATGACCCAAGGAACTTTGTTTACTTATGGGTTGGACATGATGATTATGATAGAGAAAGGTCAGTGGTCATTGTTTGTTAGAGTGTAAGTCACTTTATATTTCTTTCTAGAGAGAGCATAGCCATTTATTTCAAAGCTAGGAAACTGTTTCTGGGTGTGATACTAACAGGACTTACTTTTACTTTTACTTTACTTTTCCGATCCAGCGGCCATTTGGGTTCTAGCCCTTCAGTCTGGATACTTACAGGACAAGTCTGTGTTGATACTAGCATTTAACAAGAACCCGTAAGTCAACCTTTACTTGAGGCTCGGCTCTGGTCCTCTCTCTGGTAATTATTTATTTTGGTCACAAGTTGAAGTAAAATTTATCAGTAAGAAAAACTGGGTTACTTATTTTGAAGTCTGCTAGCTAATAGGTGGTCAATACCACAAAACCAAATGTGTTCTCCCTCTGCTGATTCAGGGAATGCTGCTGTCCTCACAGGTTGCTTGGTAGTATCTAAATGCTGTCCCCCGGGGCAGTGCTACTGACTGAAGTGTCTTTAAGCCATTCCCAAAGGGGGGACATTTCTCGTTACCGAAGGCAATTCCAGAGGTCAAAAACTTGGAAGCAGATTTTAGAATTTTGATTAGAGCTCTGTTTAAAGCACGCCTTGGTGCAGGCTGTGTGTGGAATCAGGATGCGTCATATTTTGTAAGCCTTGTTATTGAACTAAAGTGTTCGCATTTCATTGTAAATTATAATTTATATTTTAGCTTTCTGTTCAAGATTGCAGAGATGCCAACCAGTACAATTTTCATTTTACGTATTTTAGTAAGATTTTTTCCCCGAAAATACGCGAATACGACATTTCATGAAAAAATATGCATCCTGGAATGCGAAAAATACGAGATTCAGCTTGGGCGAGTAAACCTAATTATCTAAAGTCCCATCTTTTAAAATAGTATCAGTATCGCAGAACTGGAATATTTGAAAACCAAGTCCGATAAGGTCAGTAAGTTCATTTTTGCCGGTCGCCATCGTGATATTATATTCGTTCAGCTTTTCCGCGTCCGGGGAGTACGTTTCACTTTCACACGTATAGGCAGCTATGGCGGTAGGCGGAAGCGTATGTGACACCGAGGCTCGATCGGGAAAATCAAGATCTACTTTCGCTTTTGCTACCACCAAGAAGTTTGCCAGCAGTTGTCTGATAACGCAACATTTGTGGCATGCAGGTTGTGCAGTATAAACGCAATGTCGCCGTGCAAATAAAATGTAGTAAACACTCGGACTAGTCGCTTTGGCTGTCGCTTGTGGAAAGAAAAAAAGAAAAGAAAAGAAAATACAAACGTCCGATATTTAGATTGTCTGGCTCGCCATCGTGACGGGTCACTCAACCTGCGCGCATTCGCGTCATAAAAAAATGCGTCATCGTGTGAGTAAAGACCATCTTTGGTGGGAGTAATGGCCTTGCGAAGTATATGACTACAGAATTGGGGAGGAGATTATTGATTTTTTTGGGTTTAAGATACTATCGGGGGGGGGGGGGGGGGGGGGGTGTAAGTCAACACCAGAGGACAAAAACTTGGAAACGCATTTCAGAATTTTGATTAGAGCTTTCTGCTAAGCGCGCGTTGGTGCAGGCCGTGGACTGAATCGGGACCCCCTCATACTTTGCAAGTCTGTGTTATTGAAATAAAGTGTTCGCGTTTCATTTGATGGGTGGAAGTAATTATACCTACTTGGATGGGTGATAGTAAATTATACCTACGGTGTATGTTGTAGCTTTCTGTTCAAGACTGGCAGATTTTCAGTGTCACTGCATCTTGCCCTCCCACATTTGTTACAACTCTCACAGTGCACGGGTCTACTTGAGCCTTTCAATTTCAAGTTATTGCTGTTCTCTGAGTTTGATCAATAATTTGAGTCTGTCAGTTCATAAATGAATCATGACACCCAGACTGGTTCTTGTTAGTCGAAATTCTTGTTCTAGGCCCTTCCGAACTCTCAAAGCAGGATTTATTTTTTATATAATAATGAGAGGAAAATATATAACAGATTGAAATACTGAAGTCAAACAAGACCCCTGTACGACATTGAACACTGACATGTTGTTGACTGCATACATATATATTGTACGCGTGTGTGCTCCCTTTTTCGAGCTGGTGAGCTAGTAATTTTTACTATTACTAGTTGGTCAGTCGTGGGGAATACACATTTTCCCCTGAAAATACACATTTTCATATTTCCCAATACTCATTTAGGTTTTCTGTGGTTGGCATCTCTGAGATTGGCAGATTTTCAGTGCCACTGCATCTTGCCCTGTCTCAGTTCTTACAACTCTCACACTGAATAGGTCTGCTTGAGTCATTCAAGTTTTTAATTACTTTGAATTTTTGTCTTTCACTTTTATAAAAAGAATCATGGTCCCAAGACTGGTTCTTGACAGTCGATATTCTGGTTCTAGGCCCTTTCACAGACTCCAGGATTCATTTTTATAAAACAGTTTTTATATATAAAAAATGATGAGGCGAAAATATAAATTAGTAAGAATAGACTGAAATAGAGTCTCACAAGACTCCAGTGCGACACTGGCATTTTGTTGACTGAATATGATGTAAGGTACATACTTGGGTGTATGTTTAAATATATATGTGTGTGTGTGTGTAAATGGGGCTCGTGCTGTCATTGTTATGTAACATGCCCCTGGAAAATTTCGAAGTTGGTTTGGCAGTCACCCTGACTTATCATGAGCCGAGGTTTGCCCTTCAAGAGTAAATATTGTCGTGTTTTTCTAGATTGGAAGGGGCATTCCCGAGACGGATCATCATTTGCATATCTCTAATGGGATGAGAATAATTTTCTGTTAATGGATTTATTATGTTACTCAATGCAAATTGCTGCATCTATGCATATTGCGTATGCTGCTTATGTGTGTTTAAACTACCTTTGTCGAGGTACCACTGACAGTTACTGTAGGCTTCCAGTTTATGTTTGTTGACTTCGCTTTTTTTTTTTCCAAGCATCTCTTGACAGAAGGAATCAATGCAAACCATCTTGTTTATTAATCTACATTGTGTTTATTGGAGCGTAAAAGAGTTAGATTCAAGGAATGAATGTGAAGGTACTCTTTTTTTATGTTGGCTTTTTAAAATGTCTTTTCAGCACTGATACAGTGGCGTTTGTCAGCTTGTACCAGCTTAGTTTTTTAAAGAAGGACGTATACGCTGGGTTTGGCGTGTTTTATGATGTGAGTATGATAGAACTGGGTAATATGTCCTGGTGATTATAGTACTATTTTATTGCTATATTGATTTAGTCATATTATGTACATGTGGTTCGAGGGCTCCAATGGAAGGTTTTTACTGCTTTTCTTTCCCTCTGTTGTTTGATAGTCGAAGCAGACTTTGTGCTGTTGAGGCTAGAGAGGTGAGCAGAGTAAACATGATTCCCTGTTTGGGCTTCTCTGTTGATATCCATCTCTTGGCGCTCATATGACATATACAGTGGCAAGTGCTGTAAAACTTTACTAGAACTAAACTTAACTTCATGACCTTTATTGAGTGGATGTTCTTTTCTGCGCCCTAATAAATGTAATAATCTTCTGAGTATGTTGTTCTCTGGGTATTACTCTTCTCTTTTTGGGTCCTTTTGTGGTTACAGGAAATTTGTATTGATTTTTTCCTCAGCATTTCTCTCTGACAGATGCTTTCACCATTCTCTTTGACAAAACAAAAAATAATTGTCTGTTGTTTATTTTAGTTTTTGTTGTAGTGAAAGTACCAACAAGGCAGATAAATCAGAATTGAATTTCCTATAAGGTGCTACCCTTAACTCAAAATGGTCAAAATCCGACTTATGGTATCTTTCTTTAGGCACACACCTTTTAACCTCTGCTTCTCTGACGGGCCATTTTTGTCTTATACACTCCACCAAAAACCAGTCCCACTTGATGTAGCTTTGTTGTTATACAATCTGATGTTATAATATTGAATATCTGTGACATGGTTTTGAAAAGGCTGGTAAGCTGGCAAAAACAGCATTTAAAATCTTTTGTTCCTTATTTTTGTATACAGGAGCTTGAAAGTGTGTGTGCACGTATGGACCATCACCTGACCGTAGATCCATACATGAATGACTTCACCACGACCAGGAACAGTCGAATTCTAAGTTGCTTTACAATTTCTCATCCATTCTACAAACCAGTTGAAAGTCTCTCTGATTCTTATGATGAGGGTAGGTGATATTTCTAAATTTGCCATTGAAGACCTTTTGACAGTTTACAGAGATAATATTGAATTGATAAGGAGTGTTTTTTTTTCACCATGCTTACACATTTTTTGGGTCTTATTTGTTGACAGCTTCTATTCTGTAAGTTACCTGATATTTTACATTGTTTTAATTGTTCTGTTATTTACTTGTCACATAAGATTTCCCTCTTCTTTTTATTATATTTTTAGAATATCTCTGTTATCATTTTAACATTTCACTATTCCTTACTTTTTGTTTTGTTGAATTTCACTGTTACATTTTGATGTGGGCGGTTGGCGGGTGCTCTGGTGTAGTTTGCTCCTTCTTTCCTATTAAACAACTGTCATCTTTATCTCTCCTCATTTTTCATGTTTGTTACTGACTTGTAACACCTCTAATCTTCTGCACATATTTGACCTTATTGTGTTGCAAGTGGCGTAAAACTTTTACTAAAACTAAAGAATTTAGTAGATGAAAATATATACTTTAGACTACTGCTCCTATTACATTGGGTCATTATTCCTGTTTATCGCATTCCTTGCTTGGTTTATGTAGTTCAAAATGAGCATGTGGTTATCATAACTTAATTGAAAGTTCCAGATATGTTACCATCTTGGCAGGTGGTTTGAGGGCGTCACTGGTAGGTCTTATTCTGCTCTTTCTTTCTTTTTTCTTATTTTTTTGGGTAAGTGTTTTACGGCGCTCGCAACTGCATAAGGTCATGTGTGTGTGCTTGGTGAAATGTACCAAATGAGGCATTTTGAAGAATCCCGTTTTTTTAAAGCATTTTCATGTACAGAGACCATTTGTTAAAAATATGCTTTTTGATTTTTTAAGATATCTTCAGTAGTTTTTCAGATATGGGTGATTTTGTAAGACAGGAAACGGAGACAAAGTTTTGAGAAAAACTGCTTTAAAGTTTCCCCTTTGTTTCTGCTTCGATTAGATAGATCTATGCTTCGAGACGACCTGACAACACATTCGCTACTCACAAACCAAATTTAAAAAGCAGCTAAGATAAAAGAACAGCTTCAAAGTATTTATATTACGTCTTCAAAACACACTAACCACTGCCTTGAGCAAGAATTTTTCAAGAAATAGATCTAGGTTTGCGCAGGGCAGAAATAGACGATGCAAGTTTGCTCTTCGAAAAGATGAAAGGATGTGGACGTGCAAAGCTTCGCTTTGTTTACCTTTTCTAGATGTTCGTGCGCACTACCCGCCATTAGAGAGGGGAGAGAATTACCAAAATTTTGGTATACAATGTCATTGGGTCGATTTTATGAATGGACAAGAGAAACCCGGTTTTGAACCAGGGACCTTTGAATGAGAGGCGTACACCTTAACGTCTAGGCTACGAGAGCCCCCTTCTTTTCTTCCCGTCTGTTGTTTCTGTTTGTCTTTTGTTTCCATCCCCCTGCACTAAAGAACCCTATTGTGTTGATGTGTTTCTCTCAGACAATGTTTCCTGCTTGGCTTCTGCAGTTCCGAATGAACATGTGAATATTTTTGCTCAGTTCACTGCTCCTGCTCCCCCAGGTCTCCATAGCAATGACTTGAGCCTGAGCGTGTTTGTCTGGCGCTCGGAGAGCAAGCAGCAAAAGCGCATCAGCCACTGGATGTGTGTCTTTGATCTGAACCGCTGGTACCATGCGCAGATGCCACACTCCATCAGATGTCATGGTGGCTCACTACAGGTGTGCTCCTACTGGGCAGTTTACCGTCTGGACGATGTCGCTGACCTGATGGCACCACACCCACTGCTGGTATGTTGGGGACAGCTCAAAATTCATAACATTTGATTTCATTATCAACGCCGTTGCATTTTTTCCCTTAACACTGACTCTTAATCGCGACCTCAGTGCTTTCTTGTCGTATCTCCATTTTTTTAACAGTGAAAACAGTTCATAACAAAGAGTGAGCCTATTTTTTTGTTTTGGTAAGTGTTTTTATGGCGCTCGCAACTGCATAAGGTCATATGAGCGCGCGGGACACACCTATACTTTTAGTTGGTAGGAAATTTTGAATTTTGCCCGGGTGGCGGCCGAAGCCTACTCTTATCGATTTTAGACTATCAAGGGATCTTTAACGTGCGCAACTTGCACACGGAACCTCCGAGATTTTTCGCCCTTGTCCGAGATGGCTAGGTGTAGATCTTTCCTACCAGAAGATCAGGGGTGTGGCAGAAAGACAGCTGTAAGAAGGAGTCAAGGAGTAGCAGTAGAAAGGCTGCAGAAAGAGTCAGGATCCCAGAGGAGGGGGCAAAGGAGGTGAGGGGGTGGGGGCAGAAAGAGGAGACGAAAGCAGACGAAAGAATATTGCTAGAGAGCAGGAAAGGAGGTGAAAGGAGACAATTTTAGAGAAGAAAATTTTTCGGTCGCTACCCGGATTCGAACCTGGGACCTTTGAATGAGAGGCCAACACCTTAACCTCTGGGCCACGAGAGCCCCTTGAGTGAGCTTAACTCTTATCCTGCGTCTGTGCCCAGATGCGTATCTTATCAGCAACCGATTACGTCGGACTCGCCGGGCAGGCCGCCGGGGTCACTCAGTGTGTACTGTTGGTGTACAGCGCGCGCGCCGGGAAACGTGTGTTTTCGCCATGAATACCGCGGGAGTGTGTTAACTGATGATGAAAATAACGTTCTATCCTTCATAGCATTCTATTTATAAAGTGTTACAAACACATGAATAACCCCCTCTCACAAGCTGATAAGACATTACGAGTAGTTACGCCCATTTGAATAACCTTTCTGGACGCTCTTGTTGTTATGAATGACCTGAGGTTCGAAAAGGGATAATTTAGGTCAATTTCCGAATGTTTTACACTCAAATTGTTCTTTGTACCTGCACAAGGGTATTCAAAACTATTAAACAAGCTCATCTTTTATCAGGTAGTATCATTTCATACAAAATCAAGCTCATTTGAAATATTTTGTATAGAAAAATGGAAGTCTTGTTTCCTGACTATCCTTTCGAGCTCCTCATGTCTAAGTGGGTCAATTTCTTCTATAATTTCATTGGACGAACATCTAGAGCTATCAACTTGGCATGTTTTGAATGAGACGTGTGCCTCGATTACGAACCAACGCAGGTGGTTCTAGAAGAAGGCCACAAACGCACACAAACTCAAGCAGACTGACGCACACACACTTGACCTGCGTGAATGGGGATCCGACTCGGGACCCGAATGACACGTAAGAGGATGCGCGCTGCGTGTGCGCTGAGCCAGGAGCTACACTGATTCGGGACCAGAACGCAGGCGAGGTGCCGAAATAGGCTTATCGGGCTACATAAACCCGGCTCCCGCAGGATGAGGGTTAAGAAGTCACATTTTCAATGCTAAAAAATGAAGATATGACAAGAAAGCACTGAAGTAATGTGTCCCCCAAAAAATGTATTTAAATTCATTTCATCTGTGCTTCCAATCTTCCAGATTTTTATGGAAATCTGTACTTTCTGATGGTTGGGTACTTACATCCCCATCATTATTAGCTCTGTCCGTGAAAAAGTGCGATAGCGTATAGGGCTACCGAAATTCCCTGGCAAAGGATCCGAACTTGCCTTTGTATCGTCTTGTGTAAGTTCTGGATATTTATGGTGATTCTTTCGGCAAAAAGTTAATGTTATGGAAACCTGCCAGGTTGGGTATTTCCTGCACTTGGCCATTATCCTGCTATGCTTTCACATACTTACCAACCCTACAGAAAAAAATGGTATATTACCGACTTTTTGGTCCAACTGCCGATCCACTGATTTTGAGAGATAAGCCACCGACAAGCGCCCCGCATAGCTTCTTTATTGCTGTAAAATTTCAGGTCTTTGTGTATGGTCGGCCTACACTTTACGTACCAATTTAAAATTACCACCCATTCATTGATAAAACACTAGAGTTGGAAACTAGATCACGGACCCCACATGCAAGTTGCTGGCATGCAAAAGGTGCGTGATCGCGAGGTGGCATGTGATTGACCTCCTAAAACCAGAGGGTTTTACAAAAAAAAAGTAATACAATGTTAAAACTGCTAAAACTAAACAGGTTACCAATGACGTCATTGCGGGTTTTCCCGATACTGCTTTGCTAAGGTGTAGAGGGGTGATCGGCCTCAGTTCAAGCGATGTTGTGCAATTCAACATATTTTCAATTTTCATGCAAATTTGATATTAGTCTTAAAGATCCGAAGATAGACTTCGAAAAAGTGAAACAACTAGATTCTGCACTAAAAATCACCTGAAGATGCCAAGTTTCATTCATATACTATACTTCAACTCATTACTGGTTTATGAAGTTTTTCCTCAAAATACATCAAGGAACGTCCCACTTTTTGGCAATATTTTCCTATATGAAAGTCCCCCAAAATTTTGAAACAAAAAATCCCAATTTATGAATGGATTTTTAAAATTTAAAAACCACAGTTCTTAGAATTTACTCTTCTTTCATTTAAGCTGGATAAACATTTAATTTTTCATTGCCATTGCTAATTCTTGTTCTTTGTCATTTTCTCCATTTGTTTGAAGTCTCAAACACACTCATGTATATGTGGGTTAAAATATTGATAAGGGTCCCCAATTAAGTATGCGGCAAGTGGTAATATAGCCTACTACAGATTTTTTAGGTCAACTACAGATTTTTTGACAAAAATTTGGGTCAACTACAGATTTTGGCCCAGGCAATGTTGGCAGGTATGTTTTCATTGGGGGCTGGTCAGCAATACATTTTTACCTGCGAATTGATCAAAATCTGGCTATCCATGATATAGAACTTTTTGTGCTAATTTCCTCCTATCTTTCATCCACTCATTCTTTGTTTTTTGGATTGTTCAAGTAATTCACTTGTGGTTTTAGACAGAATATCACTGTCAAAAACTGCAAATTTGTCTAGATCTAGAGAAATTATTGACATTGCAATGGTTCTACACGAGCGTGGTAAGGGCCGCATCGAAAGATATGTATGCTAAAATTACCAATATCAAGAAGGATTCGAAGTGGTGCTCCCAGGTTGTGACATTCGGCATTCAAACATGAAAATGGAGGAAAATATAGGGAATGCCCTGGGTAACTGTCAGAACTCTATACTCTATCGTCAAGGCACATATGGCGGAAAACACAGCAGATGGCAAAATGGCACTTTCTGTATTCTGAACAATTTTTCTCAGAAATGGGATAACTGTGTGTGTGTATCTTTAGTTGATATTGTAGAGTGAAGTTTCGAGAAACTGGGACAGCAACATTTTTGTGAGTTTTTACATTTTGTGAAAGCTGTGGTTTTGTGAAGTTCCTGGACCCATGGAATGACGACAGACAATGTTTACTTGACAACAGAACACATGGTAAGTCCAATTTATTTTTTTCATAATTTTTCATTGTAATTTTGCGAAGAATTTGTTCCAGAATGATAATAGTATGATTTGGCATTAAAAACATGAAATTAATCACGATTAAAAAAAAAAATATTAAAAAAAATCCTAATTGCCTGCATTGTCTCTGTCGCTTTTTCACGTAATTTAAAATTTTGTTAGTTTTGGCATATTTTTAGTTCTAGTTGCCATTAAAAATGTTTTGACAATGTTTTAATCTTAACTGCGTTAATTTGTATTTTAAAAATACAAGAAACATTTATTTTAAAAAGATTTACGGCTATTCATTCACGATCATCTGGGTTTCTGTCGCTGGTATTCTACCGAATGAACAAAGTGGAATTTGCGTTCACGGCACAACGATCTCACAGTAATTGTCCAAAACGAAGTTTTTGACAGTTCTAGGCCATAGTTTCATCACTTCTCTTCATTTTCCAACATTTATTGTTAAATTAAGTTTTAAAAACGCATTTTTCTTGTCTGTCGTGCACGGGTCGGACTTTGCGCAGGTCGAACAAACGAGACCCGTGAACAACAAAATGAGGCTAAATCTAAGTCTTATACGCGATTTTCTTCCCCAAATATCACGAAATGTCAGTCATTATCCATGCTAGTTTCATTTTCAGCGTAAATAAATCTTTAAATTGCTCCATGATGTGAGAAAATCGCCTAAATATAATTTTTTCGTATGTATGACACGAAATCGCAGCGAAGGCAAGAAAATGGCGGCCACGTGATCCGAAAGGGGGAGGAAGGGGGGATGGCATTTCAAAGATCGCTGTGTCGCGATGTTCAGAATAGAATAGATAGGCCTCGATCTACTTGGATTTGCTTCCAATGAATTTTAGTTAGTTTTTAAAAATATTCTAAATTTAATTTAATGAACAAGAAAAGAAGACAGTCAAAACCAACGGTAATCAACTGTGGAAACATGCAATATAGATATGGAATGGAAATAAGAGGTGGGGG